GTTGAGATATTGACTGAGCCAGGCAAGATGATGTATCAACGTGATCGCCTACCTGCTGTTCACCAGTGGTCGTGAGTATGTCCAATCGAGCATCTACGTCATATGTCGGCGCGTTGCTCTTTTATATTTTATCTATACCAGTACCACTCAGGCTGGCCTTCGCATACGTGAGGCCGCTATGGACGTGGGCGTTGCCAATTGTGACACCGCCACCAAGACGATTTGCGAGACTACTGTGCCCAGCCCTGTGGAAGACAGGCTCGCGATGGTGGTGTTTTGGACGCTATTGGGCACAGAACGTATTGTTGCATCCCGAATATTCAGCTGCCATTCTTGGATTTCGAAGGCTGGTGGATGAGAGATTGGTGTGGAGTGATTTTCTGGACGCGACCTTCTCAGAGTACGCACGGGTATTGGGATTGTCTTTTATCCGATATTCGCCCACCCAGGGCGCCATTCTCCAAGTGGATTCGCGTGACGACTTCAGGGTCAGACACGCAGTCGAGCATGTTGTGGGTGATGGCTGGAGGTTCAGCACTAACAGCAAAGCCGCACAGCATGCACTCAGAAGCATCGCTCGCATCAGATGCCTCCAGCAAGTGGAACGAACGAGATACGACGCGGAGGAGATTGACGACGTCGACGACCAGGCATCTTCTAGCAAACTATATTCAAAGTGGCTGCTAAGCCTGAGTGAGGAAGACCGCGCGCTCTCGGCGGTCTTCAGATCGGGGGCGGTGACCTCCGAGACCAGACGACGCACAGGGTACGATTGCAAGCACTGTGGAGCGCCGACCCCCAGTTTCCGCCACGCCTTCGCCGAGTGTCCCAGACATGCTGGTGAGCGAAAGGTTGTTGAAGACCGCTATGACATTCCCCCGGCATTTTGGACAAGTGTGCCGAGGGTGACCAGCAAGAGCGGTTGGACTGTTCTCTCTCAACATGATTGTCCGCAAGTGCGTGCGAGAATGCTCACGGCGAGTTGCGCCCTGGGGCTGAGCATTCTCAAGACAGGGCATAGACGACATGCTCACCGACCCCGCGCCTCCACCTCGGACGCGTGGTCTGGTGAGGTTGGTTCAGTAACGTGACGCGCATGAGATTATCCCAATATTGTCCGGATATTTCGTTCAATTTTTCTCTCTTTACCCGTGCTGTGCCATCACAGGCGTTTGCTTGCATGTTCGCGGACTCTGTGGGCCTCTTTTAGGGCCAGTTGGGGCCTCTTGGGGGCCTCGTGCGGCCTCCAGGGGTCCAACAGTTTATGTCCATGACGTTTCTCTTTCTTCTGCTTGTGCGGCGGCGCTCCACGGATCGGTCGGCCCGCCGGCGATCCTAGGCCAGCTGGGCAACAGCAGGTGTTCAGGACGCGTGGTGGGCTCGCAATCGCGGAGGGCCCGCATCCCTTTCCTCGTCTCGCGGTGGGCCCTCCTTGGTCGGACAGGGGCCGAGGGGCGAGGACGGGGAAAAGTCCGCCCCAGAGCGTTCCGGAACGCTCTCGGGGCGCTCCGGAACACCCTGAGGAGGCCGCGGCGCCGTCGAGACAAAACACACTGTGGGAAAACACACACTGTGTGGGACACACACACACACACACTGCGTTTTTCCCCCCACGCACTGTGTGTGTGTGTGTTTTCCCACAGACTGTGTGTGTTGTTTTGTGTGTTTTTCCCCCGGAGCCGCCGGATTTCCGAGATTCTCGACGCATCCTCACCCGATGCTGTCTTCGCCCTGGCTTCGTCTAGCCTGGGCGTCTTCCTCCGTGGGCCCTGTGGCCCGGGCTGGGCGCCTGGCTGCGCCTGGGCTCTGAGGACGTGGGCCCCTGCCGGTGCTGGTGCGCATGTCGGGGGCGGCATATCTGTCGGGGGATCGTGAGACTCGACGTTTTTTGACGAGCGCGCCCCAGATTTTGACATCCCAGTTTTCGACGGACGTTTGCGGGAGGTCGCGTTAAATTTCACATTGGGTCTCGCCGTTTTCTTTGATGGCCCCTCTGCCCCCCCCCCCCTGCGCTCAAGCAGTGGCGAGGCGTCCCGGCTTGCCTCTGGGCCCACCAAAGAATGCTCTGAGAACCCCGTGTGGTTTCCACGAAATGGTCTCAGAGCATTTCTGGTTGGGGCTGCCTTGGTGTAGCACATCGGCTTTATGCTCTGAGAACTTGGCTCCCCAATCAGCGTTTGCATTCAAGGGGTCCCGGCGACAGTTCTGGGCCGATTTCGGTTGGCGGCCAGGTTCCTGGGTTCGGGTTTCCGGGCTCCCGGGGGACAGTGTCCGTGCCGATTTCGGTGCACCGATCTTCTTATCGATCGGTCTCACCATTGATCTCATGACACATTTCTCTATCGGTCTCGCAATCTATCTCACGATCGATCTGACAATACATCCAATTGTAGATCGCACGAGAAATCTCACGATCGATCTCACTCATTGAATCGACGTCACTATCGGTTTCGCGCTCGACCTCATCTTCGTCTCCACTATCGATTCCACGACCGATCCCACAATCGACCTCAATATCCATATCACCAATTTTCCAGCCATCCACCGATTGGGGTGTTTCTCTGGTGTCATATTGGTGTTCGTAACATGTTCTGGTGCTACGAACATGTTTTGGTAGGCCTGTAGGAGTGCCTTGACGGCCGGTCCCTGCTCGAACCTCGCCGCAGAGGAAGAGGGTCCTGAGGGAGACGGGTCCTGAGGTTTTTCGCCGTTCTCGGGCGTTCGGGGCCCTCGCCCTCCACGGGCCCTTGGAATTGCAAGAGATCGGCCAAGGGTGAAGATCTCGTCGTGGGGGAGGCCCCCAGGTCCCGCTTCCCTCAGGAGTCGTTTCTCTCAGGATCCGTTCAAAGCAGGTATTCGTTTGGACTCCCAGGTCCCAATCTATTTCAGGCGCCTTCCTATTTCAATGATCGGTATGTGATATGTGTTTGCCGTGTCTTGTTGTTCTCTGGGATGGCCTGGACCGAATCAGCTTTCTCCGACTTCTTATCGCATGCTTTTACCTACAGTGGAAACCCATGCCCCATGCCAAGAAATGCCCTGCTTGCCTCCGGGGTGCCCTGTGTTTGTTGGGTTTCGATGGGTTTGCTATGGAAAGCGTGACTTTCCCCACCAGAAATCGATCGACGTCCGGGGATCTAATGGTTCGGTTTCTAGTGGAAGATTTTTTTGTGGTCGGGCTCCTATTGTACTTCTTCCGCCCGACGTGCATCGGGGGCATTCAACGTAATGTTAGGGGCAAGCGTCATACACAGTGCCGCCCGCCCCGCCGCCACCTTGCAGTGTCTCTCGATGGAGATGGTGCGGGTGCTGGCATCTTGCCGACACGCGTGCGTCTCGCATCCTTGGGGAAACGGGCGTCGCCTGCGCACGTGGCGCTCGTCTGGCGCGGCTGGAGTATGCCGTGCACCCAGGAGCACATGGCGCACAAGGCGTGCTGGCATGCTTAGGCCATGCTGGTCAGAGGAGGAATAGGTATCGATACCGCTGCCGTTCCCTCGTTTCCGCCTGTTTGGGCATCTTGGGAGGCCCTCGTTGCACGGCTGGATTAGCCCCGAAATCATGGTCGGAACGCATCATTGGAGAGGTCCGGGGAGCTGTACCATGCGTGGCGCGACTCTCCAGAATTCCGGAGGGGAAAACATACAGACACAAGTAATCGTCGAGTGCCAGGAGAATACGGAACATGTTGACATATGGGAAATAGAGGGGGGAGACCAACATTCAGAAGATATGGAAAACACGAGGGAACTTGGGATGTGTGCCTGTTTATTGGTGCGTCCCTTGGCCCTTTCCAGAACATCAGGGGTCAGACAGAGACAGAAACATGAAAGTTGGGAGGCTCGCGCGGATTCCCGGGATCGGCGCTGGGCCCCCCCCTCCTGGGCGCACGGAGCGCGCGCCGGGGGCGACGCCGGAGGCGCTGCCGTTGGGCTCCCGCGCCGATCCAAGAAGTCTTTCCGAACCTTTGTTTTGTCATAGTTACGTCATGGTTTCTCAGGAGGGGGAAAACCACACAGACACAATTAATCGTCGACTCCCAGGAAAATATGCAAAAATATGGGAAGTGGGGGGGAAGACAGAAACCCAGAACATATGGGAAAATATGAGAATCTTGTTATTTGTGTGTATTTATTTGTGTGTCCTGGGGCCCCTTTAGTTTCGTCCTCATCGTTTCCCACCAGTAGGAGACATGGTAAGGCTCGGTACGATCGAAACGGGTACGGAAGGAATGGGTGCGAAGACCGGCAGCAGCTCCTGCTCATGTTGGCCAGGACTCGCTGTCGATGTCGCCCCGGAGAACATCAATTGAAGATAAAAAGGTCGCCTGCCCAACAGCGGCCGTTGTTGATGTTGGACAACAGCTGCTCGTGGGCATCGCACCCGTGTTCTACCCCTTTCAGGCGTGCCAAAAGATGAATGAACGAACGACCTTCAGGGGCCCCGCCCATGTTTAACCCAGGATCAGTCATTGCAGTAGAACGTTCTCGTATTACAACATGTTCCGTTCCTCTAAGGTAGGCTCGCGCGGCGATGGCGCGCCGGCGACGCCGGCGAAGGCGGTCAAGGTTGAATTCCGCGGAAGCACCAGTGGACACGGTGACGCCCTTGGTCCCGACGGAGTTTACCCTTGAACGGTCGGGGCCGCGATCGACCTTGAGGCTCAGCGGGCGGCGCGGGGTCAGAAACCTCTGACCTCTGCGCGTGCCGGCGCCGCGCGAGCCTGCAGCAGACTCCTCCTCGTACAGTCGGGGCCCTGAAGAAGGAACCCTTTTCGTTGGGGAGGGGCTCCGCGTTCCTTAGTTAAGTGTTTCGCAGCTTGCCTCAGGTTTTCCTTATGTTTTCGATCGGAAATCGAAGTTTTACTTATGGAAAAAAGGGGCCTCGTTCCTTATTGAGGGTTCCTTAGGTCAACGCCCCGACTGTACTGCAGTGCCTCGCTGCGGCCGCTGCGCTCCGCCTGCGTCGGGGCGGCGGCCCCGGAAGCCGCCGCGGCCCAGGTGGGGGAGCTGGCGGCCTGGGCGGAGCGCCACGCGGGCAGGCTGCCGCTGGCAGGTCGCCCCGCCCTCCCCCCCTTTGCCCGGCTCCCTCGCGCCGCAGCCAAAGATCACGGCGGGAGGTTTTTCCTTGTCTTCGGCCTCCTCCTCCTCCTCCTCCTTCTTCGTCCCCTCCTCCTCCTCCTCCTCCTCCTCCCCCCCCTCCTCCTCCTCCTCCTCGTCCTCCTCCTCCTCCTCCTCCTCCTCCTCCTCCTCCTAAAATCCAGACCCCCTCGCGTTGCAGAACAAATCACCTCCGGAGGTTTTTTATGTTGTTTTCGGGCTATGGGGTGCCGTGCTGGGCCTCAGGATTGTCGGAAAGCAACGACTTCAGAGGAAGAGTTTGGTTCCAGGGAAGGAGTCCGGACCTCTGGGGGTCGACGCTGCGAAAGCATCACGGCGCCGGGGACCTTGGTTCCCCTCCCCCCGCGCGGCTCCGCCCCCCGCCTCTTGAGGCGCAGGCGCTTCGTCTCTTCAGGAGGAGGAGGAGGAGGTCAAAATACTTCTACAGAGCCTCCTCCTCGTCGCCGAAGGCACTCGCATCCTCCACGGATGCTGCTATCACTCTCTTCCTGCTCATCTTGCTCCTCGTCCTCCTCATCCTCATCCTCATCCTCCTCATCCTCCCTCTCCTCGTCCGCTTCTCCTTTGATGTTGAGCATCCCTGCGGCGGCTTCTGTGCTACGGTGGCGTCGGGGAGAGAGACAAAAGGGGGCCGCACCCCTTCGCGTCGCGCGTCGCGAGCCAAAACGGCAGGAGGTGTCTGGCAATCCTGGGCCGCTGGGGGCTTTTTCCAGGCCCAACGAGGCCGTCAAACAGAAATTCGTGATGGCAGAATTCGCCAGGGGAAGAGGCCGATAGTTTCGAGGGCCCGCGCTAGGAAAGAAATCGCGACGTCGGGCGCCTTGATAGGACGAGGGGCAGAAAGAGGAGGGGGAGAAAGAAGGAGGATCGCGGTCTCAGTCGGCCCTGGAAACGACAGGGCTGTTTTCGTCATTGTTCCGAAGAAGTGTCTTTTGAAAATGCCAACGGTGAACAAATGGCAACCCGAAGTGGCAAAAGCACGGCTCTGGAGTTGCAGGTGAACCGGAACCGGCAGAGAATCGGCGATGGAGCCAGGAAACAACGGTGCCATAACCGTTAAAACAAAACACGGCACACGGAACCGGTAAAAAAATTGCAGAGTCGTTTCCAGGGCCCACGGAGATCGCGGCGGACGAAATGAGATGTTGGGTAAACGGCGGCACGAGAACGGTTGCATGCAGCTGGTAATCTGGCCCGCCGTTTGGCGCCCTCCTCGACACGTCCGCACCCCACTCTGGCCAAGTGTGGAAAAGGCTGTGCGGCTGGTGCCGCCGACCCTGACGAGGAGGACGAGGAGGAGGAGGAGGATGAGGAGGAGGAGGAAGAGCAGGAGGACCCTCGGGGGCCTCCCGAGCGCGTCTTGGGACCGGGGGCTCTCTTGGGGCCGTCCTGGGCGCCCTCTTGGGGGGCCTTCTCGGAGCCGTCCTGGGCGCCTTCCGGGAGAAGGGAAGAGGAAGAGGAGGAAGAGGAGGGCCGAGGGGGGAGGTGGTGCCCCTGGAGAGCTGCAGGGGTTCCTCAAGACTCCCAAGAGACGTTCCCATACGCAAGACGCGAGAGGGCACAGGGGCGCATCCGTAAGGAAGAGGGATGCCCGAGGGCCCAGACCCCCTGGCGTCACGGAAAATGCACGTCGAGGGGTATCCTGGCGCGTTCGTGTTTCGGGGGCCTGCAACGGGTCGGGACCACCAGACATCGACGCAGGACGTACATTTTGGCGGCTGGCAGAGGGTAGGCGTTTCGCCCACGGAGCCGGGTGTGTCCCCGTCGAGGGTCTGGCAGACGTTTCGATTCGGGGTCCTCTTAGGGCCTCGTAGACAGTCTTAGGGGCCTCTTGGAGAGGCAGAAGTTTCGATGCGGGGTCCGGCAGAAGTCTCGATCTCAGGGGCCTCCCGTGGTGCTCGCCTTGGCCCGTCCTGGGGCGTTCTTCTTTGGCCCCGGGGCCCCCCGGGGGAGCCGCATCTGACCTGGGGCCCCCCTCGGGACACCCCGGAGGAGGAGGAGGAGGAGGAGGAGGAGGAGGAGGAGGAGGAGGAGGAGGAGGAGGAGGAGCGGTTTCTGACCCTGGCCCGTCTGGGTGTTCTTGTCCGGCCCCGGGGCCCCCGTGGGGGAGCCGCACCTGAGGACGCCCCCCGCGGGACACACACCCGCCTCGCGGGACCGTCGCCGCCACCCCCCCCCCCTTCCCGGGCGGAGGAGGGATCCACGAGGGACGGGGCATCCCCTTCGACTCAGTTGCTACGACGTGGCTCCCTTTCGCTCGGGCGGGCGCGCTCGAGGAGGGGGGCCCAGGGAGAGAGGGAGGGGAGCGAGGGCGGGCCCAGGGAAGAAGGGGGGCGCAGGGAGAGGGGACGGGGAGCCTCTCGGGGCCACGGGCCTCCCTTCGACTCCATTATATTACGACTTTGCTCACTTTCGCTCAAGCTGACGCGCTTTTGAGGAGGAGGGCCCAGGAGGGAAGAGCGGGGGAGCGGCGACGGGCCCAGGGAAAGGAGGGGCGCAGGGACCTGGGACGGAGACGGCGACTCGCACGGAGAAGCCCCTTACACGCCGACAGAGTCGGCGGATTATTCCCCCTCGACGACGCCAGCGGCGACAACCACGACGAGGCTAGCGGCGACGTCGCATACACTAGCGACGCCGACGTTCGCGGCGATGGCAGTGGCGTTGTCGACAACGACGGCGCGGGCGAAGGCGCCGATGACGACGCCGGCGGCGACGACGTCGGTGGCGACGCCGGCGGCGACGGCGACTGCGGCGCCGGCGACGTCACACCCTAGTTTGCTTCTCGAAACGCTGGAGGGCCTGCGCCAGGCACAAGAGCAGTTCTTGAGCGCAGAGCGTACGAGCGTGTGCCCGATCCTCGGCGGCCATCGGCCAGCTCCGCCCACTCCCCCGCCGCGGCCTGCCAGGTGCCCTGGGCGCCGAGGAGCGGCGGCTCTCCAAGTTCCTCAACAACCAGCGTCGTGGGGGGGTCGGCCGCCTCTCGAGGGCCACGCGCCTCTCGGGGAGGGTCCCGGGAGCAGAAGACGACGCGGGCTGCCGGGCCATGGCCGCCAGACAGAGAAGAGAAGAGGCTCGCTTGCACGCAGGAGTGGCCCTTCCCCGGAGGGGCCTTTGGTGTGGGCACCTTCGGGACTCCAGGGGCGGGGGTCGGCCAGAGCGCCAGTTCCTGCAGGATCCCGCAGCGCCAGGGTCGCATTGGCCCGGGCTTGGGTGCAGGATCCTGCAGGATCCTGCAACGCCTGACCGACCCAGGTCTGGACTGACCCGGGAGCAGTAGGTTCCCTACCTTTTGGGGGCCCCCCGATCGCCGAAGGCGCAGCGGTAGCAGCGGCTTGCGCGCCCAGGTTCGTCCACCTTGCGCCCCCGTTGTGCGTGCACCTGAGGCCACTCATTGCCCAGGGCCACCCCTGGGCGGAGAGGCGTTCTTAAGGAGAGGGGGCCCTGCTCTGAGCTCGGTGTTGCAATTGTTTGTGTTCGCAAGGAGCGTGCTCGCCCGTGTGCGGGCCCGGGTGCCCGAATCGTGAAGCAGAATGATGGGGTCCAGGGCTCGGGCCGTGATTTTTCGCGAGGTTGCATTTGATTCGCACCGTCGGATCTCATGACAAACGAACACCACACACACCCATGCCCATAGGGTGATCGGAGAGAGGAGGACTGGTTGCGGGGAGGCTCCCGTGCGAGCGGGGACCCCCAGCCGACATCACGCACCTAGTCCTTGTGCGCCCCTGTGCCCCCCCCCCCACGGGGGGGGACGACAGTAAGACGGGTGCAGAACGTGATCGTTTTCTCATTCATCGTTTTGCCGATCGGCGCGGGCCCTCGCACCCCCCCTCCCACCCCATGGAGTAGATCTTGGCTGTTTTGGGCGCCTGTTTCAAGCAGGCGGGGCCTCCCCATAGGACGCACTGTTGCAAACAGTGGCGTTAAGCAGAGGTCCGGCGCCAGGCTCCTCCCATTCCGCCCAGCGTCGAGACGCCGAGCTAGAAAACGTTCACAAGAAGAACAGCGCGACGGGATTGGCATTTTCAAGGGCCCTTGAAACGCCCTTTCCTTTCCTGCGCCCTCCCCGGTTCGTTCGCGCCGCCCGTCGTGCCCCCACGTTGACCCAGAGATTCAATTTTTCTGTGCAAGAAGCGGGTCCCCACAAGCCTCGACCCCTTCCCCAGGGGCCTGATGAGGGCCCGTGGAAACCGAAGACTACCAAAGAAGTTGTTTGTCGCGAGTTTCGCAGCTCTCGACGTGAGGGGGTCTGAGAACGTCCACTGTTGGTCAGAGCTCCGAATCATCAGGGCTGGGGGGGTCAGGGGTATCTACAGATTCGCGCTTCGTGGACCTAAATTGGAGGTATCCCGGACCGTAGTTGTTTCGGATGATTTGGGCGTCCAACCTTCCCGAATCATCAGGGCTGGGGGCGGTCAGGGGTATCTACGGTTTCGCGCCTCGGGGGCCCAATTCAGAGTTACCCCAGACCGCAGCTATCCCAGAGAATTCGGGCGTCCAAGTCGAGTCTTGGAAAGTGGCACCAACACCAACACAGCGGGGTGTCTCCACCGTGGGAAGCTGATCCAAGATTCTGCTGCTGGTGGTAATATTTCGGCCCCTTGGGAGTTCGAGTATCGCTACCATCATTGGAATTTCGACCATGTTCGACTCGGTGGAGACATCGTCGAATTCGGCGGCGAAGATCTGTCCACAACCACCGCCTGGGGGATCGATCTCTCGGGACCCCTGGGGTCCAACTATGTCCATGTCCACTGCCCCCTTGGGTCCCATCTTCGGTTCTCTGGGCAGTGGATGTGGATGCTGTCTCCACCGAGTCGAACATGTCCCTTCTCGCTCGTCTCGACGTCGAATTTGGCCTTGGTGCCATGCCCTGA